AAGGAAGAGAAAGAGAAGGAGAAGGAGAAGAAGGAAGAGAAAGAGAAAGAGAAGGGGAAGAAGGAAGAGAAAGAGAAGAAGGAAGAGAAAGAGAAGGAGAAGGAGAAGAAGGAAGAGAAAGAGAAAGAGAAGGAGAAGGAAGAGAAAGAGAAAGGGAGAAGAAGGAAGAGAAAAAGAAGGAGAAAGAGAAGAAGGAAGAGAAAGAGAAAGAGAAGAAGGAAGAGAAAGAAAAAGAAAAAGAGAAGGAGAAAGAGAAGGAAGAGAAAGAGAAGGAGAAGAAGAAGGAAGAGAAAGAGAAAAAGGAGAAGAAGGAAGAGAAGGAGAAGGAGAAGAAGGAAGAGAAAGAGAAAGAAAAAGAGAAGGAGAAAGAGAAGAAGGAAGAGAAAGAGAAGGAGAAGGAAGAGAAAGAGAAAGAGAAGGAAAAAGAGAAGAAGGAAGAGAAAGAGAAGGAGAGGAGAAGAAGGAAGAGAAAGAGAAATCTACCTGGAGATTCAACTGCACCAGATCCGCCTCTCTCTTGGCTAGAGCCACTTCGAGGATGCGGTTGTGCTCTCGCAGAGCTGCGTTGGACTGGCTCAGGCCGGTGAACTTTCCACGCTCGTGTTCCAGTTCCAGCGAAAGCTTCTTGTTGGCCTCTTCCAGGCGCTTGATCTTCCTCCGGAAGCCCCTCGCTTCTTGAAGCTGTGTGGCCACACAAACCATTTCGGCCCCCCCATTAACCACACCGCACTGCATCCTCCATTAAAAGAAGAACACTGACCTCTTTCCCTGAAGACCTATCTGGGCCCAAAGCAAGATTTGGATGGCTGGAGACCACACTTGATTTTGAAGAGGAGACAGATAAGCTAGATTAAATGATTCCAAGGAGCCCCTTTTGTTTCTTTTCTTAAACTCTTGGAAATAAAACCTGAGTTTTGTTTTTCTTAAATTTAATAGGGCAACTCCTTGTATATAAACAATCTCAACTCTCTTTTAGCACTGATGATGTTATCTAGTTGGGTAATCAAACGTCTGCGGGGGAAAAAACCAACCAAGCTCAGAGAGCACCAAGGACCCCACAGTCCTCCAACTCCTCCCCCACAAACACCACTCTAACACTGATGGTGTTGCATAGTATGGCCGTGAAACATTTGCAAGAAAACAACCCAGCTAAGAGAGCATCAAGGACCTCGCAGTTTTCTTCCTAACTCGGCTAAGAATTGACCGCTTGCCCCTAACAGCACACACCCCACCATTTTCAGGAATTGGGGTTAAAGGACTCGAGTTGAACATGGCTGATGGGAAAAGGCCCAACGTGTTGACCGTGTCACTCCTTACAGTCCTTATCAAGAACCAAGAATGGCTTCAACCGGGTTTCAAGCAACCCGTTGGCCATATCCAACTTAACCAACCCTCACCAGAGATTGTGGAGTCAAAAACCAGTTTCAGTATGGCTCGGTTTATGTCCACGGAAGATGGCAGAGCAACCCAATAAGCCAAGGGTGTCAAACTTAAGGCCCGATCTGGCTTGCAATGTAGTTGGATCCGGCCCAACTACTTTGGGGTCCGTCCGTCCTGGCTCTACCCAATGTGAAGAGGAAAGATCGGCCCAGCCTGGCTTCGGCCCAGTCTATCCAATGCGAAGAGGAAACATGTCAGCAGTTTGGAGTGGCGTCAAACTAGCCACGCCCACCCAGTCGGCCACACACACACACCCCAGTCAGCCAGGCCCAGGCTCCCCCCTCCCCCAAGGTCAACCACCGCCATGACGCAGCCCTCAGTGAAATTGACACCCCTGCAACAAGCCATTTAGCCATTACCTCATCTTCAAGCTCAAGGACCTTCTCTCGGTACTCTTCCAGTTCTTGGCTGGTGACCGAGATGACTTCTTGAAGCTCCTTCTCCAGAACCATCTTGCTGTGGGTGAGAGACTGCAATTCCGCCTCCAGAGTCCGTATCCTTTCCTGAAGGCCAAGAGGCACATGCTGGGGGTTAGCGTCAAAGGATGCCACGGTTTTAGAAGAGGAAAGAAGTGAGGTTGCTTACTAGGCTAGCTTGGTTATTTTTGCTCTCGGAGAACTGGGCCTTGAGTTCGTTCAGTTCAGCTTCGGACGACTCCTTGGCGGCCAGGGCCTCCTGAAGGCGCCGGCTGAGGACGCCGACGGCGTTCTCGTAAGCTTTGTGCTTGGCTTTCATCTCCTTCTGGGCCGTGCTCAGATCGGAACCCAACCTCTTCATTTTCTGCTTCTGCTCGGTTATGGCCCTGGCAAAGGGAACCCAACAGCAAAGGGGCGGTCAGTAAAGGGACACGATGGCTCATGTGGCTAGGACAAAGCAGCAAGGTCGCATTCGAGACCCGAGAAATGTTGTGGGACGGGGTGAGTTCCCGTCCTTAGCTCTAGCTCCTTCCAGGAACATAAAAGGAACCCCACAACTGGGCAATCGCCAGTGATGTCACCAGGTAATCCTTTCAACCCGGAAGCACCTTGGTGCTAATTACAGATTAATTACAGATTGAGAGAGTAGGAAGGGATCTTGTAGGTCATCTAGGCCAACCCCCCCAAGCATGAGACCCTACACCATTTCTGACAGAAGGCAGTCCAGTCTCTTCTTAAAAGCCTCCAGTGATGAAGCTCCCACAACGTCTGAAGGCAACTTCTGTTCCATGAGTTGATTGTTCTCACGGTCAGAAAATTTCTCCTTATTTCCAGGTTGAATCTCTCCTTGATCAGTTTCCATCCATTATTCCTTGTCTGGCTTTCACGTGCTTTGGAAAACAGCCTGACTCCCTCCTCTCTGGGGCAGCCCCTCAAATATTGGAAGGCCGCTCTCCTGTCTCCCCTGGTCCTTCTCTTCCCTAGACTAGCCAGGCCCAGTTCCTGTAACCAGTCATCGTATGTTTGAGCCTCCAGTCTCCTGAATCATCCTGGTTGCTCTTCTCTGCACTTTTTCTAGAGTCTCAACGTCTCCTTTATAGTGTGGTGACCAAAACTGGATGCAGTACTCTAGGTGTGGTCTTACTAAGGCTTTATAGAGTGGTATTAGTACCTCCCTTGATCTTGATTGTATCCCTCTGTTAATGCAACTTAGGATTGCATTGGCTTTTTTTGGCTGCCGCTGCACACGGCTGGCTCCTATTTAGCTCACTAAGACTCCGAGTGCAATGTGAGCAGTTAGTCTTTGACGTACAACAGTTTGTTTCATGACAGAGGGAAGGTTGTAAAGCACAATGTCACAATAACACGACAACTTAATGAGGTTGTGTGCAATGTATGATTTTTAGGACAGAATCAACAGTATTACGTAACGTGCCTCATTTGGTCCATCAAGTTGTAATGGCCGAAAGGGAGAAGAGACTAAGAACGGATACAGGTAATGGGTTAGGTTCAGCTAAACCAACGCAAGCTATACTCACATCTTTGTTTCTTGTTGCATTTCGTCGACCTGCTGCTTTAAGTCTTCGTTGACTTTGACCAGAGCTGACATCTGTTCTTGGTCGAACCTCGAAGACTGGGAAATTTGGTAAAAAAGCACGAAAGAAAAATTGATTCATTTTTTTAATGCAGCGAGCTTACCTATTTTGGAAGAAGGCTGGGTTAAAGAAAAAAAAAACGGGCAGTCCTCGAGTTACAACCACAATTGAGCCCCAAATTTACGCTGCTAAGGGAAACGTTTTATTTAAGCAAGTTTGCCCCATTTTACGTGACCAAATGAACTGTTGTATGTTGAGGACTAACCTGTACTGTGAATTATGTTTAGTTTAGTTTACTTTATTGATTAGACCTTGGGCCATATCAAAGTGCAGAGTACCAGACATAAATTATTACTAAAATCTGATAAAAACAATTTAAAATGCATTTGCACCAAAGACCAATTTCTTGTGTGTCCAGTCACACTTGGCTAATAAAGAATTCTATCCTATCCTATCCTATTCTCATTTCATTCTCTGTTCGATTTCTATTTCTATTCTATTCTATTCACATTTCATTCCTATTCTATTCTATTCCTTATTTCTATTCTATTCCTTATTTTTATTCTATTCCTTATTTCTATTTCTATTCTATTCTATACTATTCTATTCTATTCTCATTTCATTCCTATTCTTTTCTCTTTCTCTTTCTAATTCTATTCTATTCTTTTCTGGAATAGAATAGAATAGAATAGAATAGAATAGAATAGAATAGAATAGCTTTATTGTCATTGCAGTCCACGAATACAATGAAATTTGAAAGCTTCTGCAGCACAGTGCCCCAAACACATTACAATCACACCAGTTTTTTAAAAAGTAAAATAACAACAACAACAACAACAAATAATAATAATAATAATAATAATAATAATAATAATAATAATAATAATAATAATAATAATCCTAGTCTAAAACCCATCTAAAACATTTAGTAAGTTAAATAGTTTAAAAATGCCACTATATATATAGGACTAAATCACAAATGCACTGTTTGATTCAAGACAATTATTGCCTTGGAAAAGAAACTGTTTCTCAGTGTATTAGTCCTCATTTTAAGACACCTATAACGTTTCCCTGATGGTAACGGTTCGAAATATGAATGACCAGGATTCTATTCTCATTTCATTCCTGTTCTGTTCTGTTCTGTTCTATTCCTTATTTCTATTCTATTCTACTCTATTCTATTTTAAAATGCAATTGGAATAAAATACCATTTAAAATAAAATTGGAATAAAATGCAATAATTTAATATATAGATAAATAAAACATGATAAAAGTATATTTCGGTGTCACCCCTATGATCTACCCTTAAGTATGAAAAAAAGGAATGGTTTTAAAAAGGAGGGGAAAACCACAGAAATGCCTCGTTTAATCTATTTATTTCTTAAACTCGGCTTTCCTTCCCACCTGCAGCTCCGCCTCCAGGTCGTTTCGTTCTTTCTGGGCCAGCTGGAGCTGGCTCTCCAGTTCCTGCATCCCCTGCTGAATCCGTGTCAGTTCCTTTGCTAGCTTGGAGTTCTCCAGCTCCGTGGATCTCTTCTCACCCTGAAGCTGAAGGAATTGCTGCTTTAGCTCTTTGATTTCTGCATCCAGCTTCTTCTTTGTGGACTTCAGTTCACTGATGAGCTGGTCTTTGGAAAGTGCGTCTCGGCGGTAGGCTTCCACCATCACCTGCGGGTCAAGAAGCAAACGTAAGGTTATGGTTTAATGGGAAATACTAGCTCGATACCCGTGCTTCGCTACGAAACTATGTGGTCGGGCTTAGTTTTTGGGGAGG